AGTTGATAAATCAATAAATATAAAAATAAAAATAAAAGGATTTAAAATTGCGAGAATTATAATCCCAACGGTCAATTTGGTCAAGTCATGATGTGTATGAGTGTATCACACATTATTATTAAAATCGATTCGCTATCTCTCAAGAGTGCTATGAACGTTGTAGTGTCCGTCTCCCAATACAAAATGATATCATTTAGATAAAATAGTATCACACACTATCCTTACCAAATTATTTTTGAGCACTCAAAAATAATATTTTTGACGAACTAGAACAACACGTGAACATTTATTTTTAGAAGTGTTAGCATAAAATTTTCAAAGAAATAAGTTTCGAGATAGAAGAAAATCAAGATTTTGAAAGTTGTTTTAGAACTAACACAAAAACAATTTGCCCAGCACAAATATTTATAGGAGATGTTAAGAAAATTGAGCAAATACCAATTTTGGTCCTACGAGTATTAGCAAAATGACAGTTTTGATCTATATGTTTAATTTCTACCAATTTTCATCCACGACTATTGTTTTAGTACCAATTTTCATCCACGACTACTGTTTTAGTGCCAAAATCCAACACAGCGGTCAGCCCTCCGTTTCATATATACCGAAATATGAAATTAATAAGGGTATTTTCATCTTTTTTAAATTAAGATCTCAATTTGAGCATGAATAAATGAATTTAATCTTAAGATCGACCCCAATTTACAGTTCTCGACTGCGAATTGAGATCGATCTTAGGGATTAAATCTCATTATTCATGCTCAAATTGGGATCTTATGTTGAAAAGGGAAAAAATATTCTTAAAATTTTTAGATGTCGCCATGTCTTAAACGAATGAGTGGTCGACGTGAAGAATTTTGGCACTAAAACAATAACCGTGGATGAAAATTGGTACTAAAACAATAATCGTAGATGAAAATTGGTAGAAATTAAACATGTGGACTAAAAATTATCATTTTGCTAATACACGTGGAACCAAAATTGATATTTGCTCTAAGGAAATTAGCATTAAACCATGTTAACGTCTAATTTAAAATCAAATTGTAACTTCCTAACAACCCACGTTAATTCTTAAATATTAAATTTTAATTAATTCCTATAGACCCCTTACACGCAAGAGAGGGCATTTATGATTTACAATACAATCTCTTCTTCTTCTCTTTTTTTTTTTTTTTTTTTTTTTTTTTTTTTTGTGCAAATACAATCTCTTTTTTAAAAGGGGATTGTATATATAATTACTAGTAATTCACCCGCACGATGCACGGGAAAAAATCGTGTTATTATAAATATAAATAAAAAATAGAAAAACTAAAATATTTTAAATTGTTTAATATAATAATATTTTTGAGCTTCCATTGGTCTAGTATTTATTATTTTTATAGAATACAAAATTACAATTACAATTAAAATTAAAATTAAAATTTTGTATGGTTAATATAATCTATAATTGTGTGCATATTCAAATAAACTTATAGATAGAATTTACATAATTACATTGATTTATTCTTAATTGTATTTCATCTATATTATAATTTTCACAATACGAATAATAACTAAGATAATTACATTTGGAAAGCAAATTTCAAATTTTGTATGAGTAAATTTAAACTCTAATTGAACACATTTTTTATATGATTATATAATATATAGCTATTTTATTTTTTAAAAGTACATTTTTTATATGATTATATAATATATAGCTATTTTAATTTTCAAATGTTGTGTTTTTTTTTTTTAATAATAAAGGACGTTGTGACATTAATTGTAACATTAATTACTTCCCAAACCATATAGCTTTATTATAGTTAAGATATACTAGTGCAAACTCACATCTATTTCCAATGCGAGACAAATGCATTTTCTAAGTCTTTCCACCTCCATTTTTCCAATTCAATTTGGTCTACTTTGAAAATTAATTTTTCATTCATATATTATCTGTTTTGAACTTTTTATAATATATCGATTTATTTGTCTCATTTAAAAAAACCTAAATCCACTTTGACCATATCCCAATTAGAAGTGGGTCTAAGAGTCACATACGATGTAATTTTCAATAAAATTTGTAGCAAATCAAACTAGATTTAAATCTATAGGGGGGAAACTCTAGTGAAGTTGGTCATTCTTCAGGCTTGGTAATCACTAATCACAAGATTCCAAATTCGATTCATAGTGGGATCAATTTCTTCTTGGTTTGAGTCGATCAGCTATAGAAGACCTAAGCTAATTTACTTCTTTGTGATTATTTGCCAGTTCGAATCACAAGGCGGAGTTTATTCAATTTACACCATTGAGTAATGGGTGCAAATTTTCCTTATCCTCCAAAAAAAAAAAAAAACACCTATACACATAAAATTAGACCCATATTTAGCTAACCAAATAGAGAAGTGAAACATAGGGTAAGGAAGAAAGGATATATTGCCTTGAAGAAATAGCAAATTCCTTGCTTGTTTCACCCATCAAAGTAGGGCATATGCCATGTGTATTATCCTGATGAATACTACATTTAACTTTCCACTTTCTATATAATTGATTAAAGTGGATTTTTTCTTCTTTTTCTATTATTGGGTCTAATCTCAGATTTAGATAGCTTTCCCTGTCCTTGTTTGCCATTTCTTTTTTATAGTCACTTTTTCTTTGCGATTTGAATTTGAAGGTGAAGGCCCACCCATTTAAATTGAAATTTACCGGCAAAAGTCTAGTCATTAGACTTAAGAACTGACTAATTATGACTTTATGTCTGCCGAGAAAGTTGTTTACATGCTGTAAAGTGGATCCATATTCAAAAGGTAATTGCGAATATATTATGGCATCAATATATAATTTTTGAAAAATGTTATTTATATTAAAAAAATATCAAATAATAAAAGAAAGGTATTTTTATGATATGTGTCATAATTATTTTATTTCATGATTCATCGATCTCCTATAAATTGAATAGACTTACCTAAATTAATTATACAAAATTATGTTTAATTATGTAAATTAATCAATGTTCAACGCACACTAATGTCAACCTACTGGTCATTGAGCTCAACCTCTCGACTAAAGAGGCTTCACAAAGACTTCTTCGGCAAAAGTTTCTTAATAGTAGACGAGTCTAACTAATAAGTAAAATTTGATTGATACGTAAATTTTAAGTAATAAAGCTTAACCAGTATATAAATCCCGAATGCTAGTTTATAACCAATAAAATGTTAGGCCTTCTTGGTAATAAATGCCACAAATCCGTACTCATACAGTCATAGATCAATCGTGCAGGTTGTTGAGCTATTCATATTTCATAATGGGTCTAGGGTATGTATCCCATCAAGTTAAATACTACTCCGTAAGAGATTTGGTAGAGTTTGATCAATGTAGCATTATTCATTATTTGTATAGTTTGATAGTCATATTACATTTTAATTGCTCCATTGATGGACCATAATAGAGATAAATAAATTGGTTGGCATCAATTAATGAGTTAAAACAATTACCATCTCATCTCATTAACTTGAGAGTAAACTAAAACTTGTGATAGATTGTGAACAATGACATAAGATCGAACTCTACTTTCAGAGGGGGTTGAAGTCATGAGTCAACCAAAAAGACTTCTTTTTCTTCCTTCGGGTTGATCAGCATACAAGGAAAACGCTTTAGTCTTTTAGACTAATACTTGTGAGCATATAACCATTAATGTGCAATCCAACTATCAGCTTAGGCTTTTAGTTGAGATGGAGCACAACGGTTTCTTATTAAGATATAGCCTTCATTTTGATGGCGGACATGAATGAGCAGACATGTTGCCCATTAGTTATAGCGTATCTGGATTCAAAGAGAGAGAATATCTGGTCTCCGCCCCTTGCATCTCAAGTCTCACTTCCTTCTTCTGCTAATGCTACTCCACTTGTTCACTAATTATGGTTGAAGAAAGGCAGGTAAACAACCGAAAACCTTTCCTTCATCTTTCAAAAAGATTCAACAACAAACATAAACAAATCTAAACCATTTGTTTGAATTCCCCTGGTGGGTGGATTGTCTGAATTCTCTTTAAGGCTCTTCCCCCATGGTTTATCATTGTGATGGGAAACCTTCCCACATGGTTCAGAGAGCACTGAACCGAAGAGATAATCATAGAAAATGTGAAATATTTGATAGGATCTTTTTCGGGAATAAGGAAATGGGATGTCAAAAAGAAAGGAGTGAATGGATGAGCGGAGCAGTGAGTGTAAGCGAACGGACGGCCAATGCGCCAGCCAGCCAGTGTGGTGGCGAACACGCTGTGCAGCCCGGTCCAAGAGAAGAAAGACTGAGCTTTCTGGGTTAAGATGCAATCTTTTATCTTATAATGAAATGAATCATGCACTTCAATTAGATGAGACATGAACGATCTACTCTACACATGTGTGGGCTTACAGGGCTAGGGCTCATAAACCCTTTTTTACCTCAACAAAATCTATAAGAATCATGTCAAAACACTTGAACATTGTCAAAAGGATGAAACTAACCCTACAACATCACCTACAAAACTCAGCTGCTCACTGTCCAGGCCGCCACTGCAATTTCTGTCCAAAGCTATTAGTTATAAACCATTGGAAAAGAACTAATTAACCAGCATATCGCCCAAAACAAGGTAAAGATATCTCATTTGGTCATAATGGTAAAGAAAGATGGAGAGAAAGTCAGAAAGGCACAGGTTTTGATACTAACCTTGTAAGGTAGCCATTTTTCCAAGTTCAACAGGAACCAACCCAGAAAGATTTGACATTCGATCAACCACATAAATCATTAATATTCTTTGCCATTTCCTTCTAAGTTTCTCTATACCAATGCATTATGGAAGATTTTTGCTTTCTGTGTGTTAATTGCTAATGGTGTCACCTTTGGTCTTATCAATGGGTTGTACACATGGGATATCAACAAATTTAGCTTGCTTCCATAGCATTCAAAGAAAACAGAAAATAAGTCCTTTCAAGCGCTTTATGTTCAACTACTTGGGAATCCAAATATCGGAAGAAAGATCATGGACTAGCTGGTAATCAACTGAAAGGTATGAAATATATGGAAGAAGGATATGATACAGGAGATTACTTCATGGAAGTCAGTCAAGAGGTTATACTCTGCAGTACAAACTTACAACAACTCTCCTAAAGCAGTAAAGCACTATGCAAACTTTTGCAATTGTTATCAATCTTCTAAGTCATCCTCGTCTTCAGCTTCATCAAATTCTTCCTCCTCTTCCTCTTCTTCTACTTCTTCTTCTTCATCCCCAACGTCTTTGTCTTCTTCCATCTCATCATCTTCAACGATAAAACCTCCTAGTGTCTCATCGTCCTCCGAATCCTCATTACTCGTATTCTTCCTTTGGGCGGAAAGCTTCTGTTTTCCAACACCCTTACTTGGTTTACCACAATCATTGGACCTAGTCATATACTTGGGTCTTTGAGATTTTCTTGATTTGGTTATTGCTTCCTTCTCCTCCTCACTCTCCCCTGTCCACTCTTCATCATCATTTTTGCCAACTTTCTTCCTCTTCCTCCCTCTTCCCTCATCACAATCACTTTCAACTCTAAATTCCTCAATAAACCAATCCCAATTCTTGATATCCCTTAACATTTTCTTCGGATAACCATCAAACTCACGCCCCATTACCACCAATCCAAACTCTGCACAGTTTTACAATTACCAACAGAACTTCCTAATCAGCAAAATTCAACTTAAACTAACGGTAAAACACTATAAGAACACGCAACACAAATAAGATAATCTTTTCAAAACTTTGTAGTTAATATTTTCTAGAAAAAAATATGAGCAAATACCAATTTTGGTCCCCAGTTATTAGCAAAATAACAGTTTTGGTCCACATGTTTAATTCTTACTAATTTTCATCCACGACTATTGTTTTAGTGTTAAAATTCATCACACCAGTCACCACTCTTTAAGACATGACGAAATATGAAATTATTACGGGTACTTTAGTCATTTTCAAATTAATATCCCAATTTAAGCATTAATAAAGGAATTTAAGCTCTAAGATTTGCAATTCTACTCCTCAAATTAAGGTAGGATGTGAAAGAAAATTGCCAATTGGGATGTATCTTAGGACTTTAAATCTCGTAAAAATTGAGATCTTAAGTTGAAAACGACGAAAATACCTTTAAAATTTTTAAATTTGACTTAGGTGACACTAAAATAATAGTTGTGGATGCAAATTAGTACTAAAATAATAGTAGTGGATGAAAATTGGTAAGAATTAAACATGTAAATCAAAAATATCATTTTGCTAATATTTGACCAAATTTGGTATTTGCTCAAAAAAAAATATTATGGAATAGAGAAAAGAGCCTAAAAACGCACCTTTAACAGGGTCAATATCTGATAAATTGATGGAATCAAGCTCCAATTCGTCAATCCCTCGTTGCTCATGGCCGCTTCCAAGGCTCCCAGCTAACTCCGAGCCAATCAGCGAGCCTCTCACCGTATCCGATTCACCTTCACCGTCAAAATCGATTCGTTTCAATGTGAACCAAACGGGATTCTTCGCAGAAACGCAGAACATGTCGCCGCTCTCCATTTCGCCTCTTTCGGAGCTACGGTATGCCTTCACTCCGCCGCTGGTGCTGCCGTGGACCCAAACCGGGTTTTTGCCGGCGACCTCGAAACCAACCCGCGGGTCCTTGCCTTCATGGTCCGACGAAGGGTGGAGCTGGAACAATATTTGGCGGCGAGAGACGGCCCGATCGTTGTCCTTGACACCTGCCCCCCTTCCGAACACTGTAATGGATCCGGGTATCAGTAGGGTTTTGGACCCGTCACAACTTTCTATTTCCATAGATGACCAAAGTCCGAGGCGGTAGCAGCCATATGAAAGATACTGGTTTCTCAACTAAACTTCTAAACAAATTTAAAATGTAAATTAAAGTATTATTCAATTTTGATTTTGGTATTCGGTTCAGAAATTTAAATAGTTTAATTTAATATTTTAAGATTAAAACACTTTTAACAAATTAATTACTACGTAATATTTTTTTTGAAAGGTAAAACGAGATATATATTAATCAAGCAAAGCCGTTACAAAATCAGGAGGCACACCCTCCCAAACCATAGAGTTGGCCTGCGAACAAACGGCTACTAACGAATGAGCTAAACAATTGGAAGTATGAGGAACATACGAAATAGAACACGACATAAAAGTACACATCAAAACTCTACATGCTGAAACAACTAATCCATAATTGGAACGATAATCCGACTTAGACGAAGACAGAACCTGACAAAGGTTCGAGCAATCAAAATACAAAACTACTTCCATAACATTCCGGTCATGAAGTCACGAGAGAGCTTCCTTGCATGCAAGTGATTTCGCCATGAATGGACTGAGGCAATGCCGCAGCTGGCCGGCGGCAACGAAACCTCCGCCTGCGTCGAAAAGGATACAACCGAACCCACGTCGGAGTTGGCGTCGTACGCAACATCGAACGCGCACACTTGTGTGACGCCTCCAGGCTGCTGCTGCGGTTGAGAAGCCGCTGGTTCCAGACGCCGTAAGTGGGCAGACTGCCAAGCAGCGAGGGAGGCAGTAGCAGCTACCCAGAGAGCCGAATTACGCTGTGACCATAAACCGTACAAGACTGCCGCCATTTTTTCCATATGCGCCGCATCAACCTTGTACATAATCTCCTCCAACCATCCACTAAAGACATCTCCCATCCTACACTGCACCAATAACCCAGAAACATTCCAAACAAACTTAAAATATTCACAAAAGACTAGAGTATGTATGATAGTCTCATCATGAATTCCACACAAAAGGCATGCAAGAGGGACCTCTGCCCTCCTACTATATAAATTGGATGTGGTAGGAAGCACATTACTCACATCTCTCCATAAAAACGACATCCACTTAGGAGGGATTTTCAGCTTCCATATTTTATTCTAAGAGGAGAAACGATTCGGGTGGGGCGGGGCATCACTCGTAATGTCACAGTAAGCATATTTAATTTCAACCGTAAGCGTAAACGCCACCGTGCCCCACCGCCTTGTCGTACTCCGCAGTCAGTAGTTTCAACTCAACCATTACCGCTTTTTGGATTTAGAATTTCTCTGCCGCCCGTGATCTTTGCAATGACTGTTAAACCAAGCTCAATGGTTTTCTTTCCACTAACCAATACCAAAACAACAGCACCATCGCTGAAATGGGATTAATTTACTGGGCGGTTTCGTTTTTCTTGTTCTGGGCACACAACAACAAGAAGGCATCACCGTATACTTCTAAAATCTTCTGCACTAGATGGTTGTCGATGTGAAAATCAAGTAAAAGGACAAGTTTGCCCTCCAACTTAACATTATTTTGACAGAAAATTTAACGGGAGGACCACATGTGGTTAATTTTTAAAATTAGGAAGACTGTCTTGTGGTCGTGTAAAAGTGATGATTACAGTTGGTATATGGCTAATACTCGGAGGATCAGTAGACTACTAGAGGTATTAACTCTAAAAATTAAATTAACTTACAAATTTCTTTAGAAGTTTTCATGCATTGATAATATTCTGATGTGTAAACTTATTCAAACGAGGGCAGTGGGATGTCAACATTGTCAATTCTTTAAAAAATGATCGTACTGTTTTAGAGTCCATGTAAAAACAATTTTGTCTAATAAAAAATAATAGTATAATATTTGTAAAGTAATGTACAATTGTACTATTATAAAAATACATACAAAAATTATTAATAACATAATGATTAAATCATTCAAATAATGCAAAAGCGTAATTGAAATAAGTTTTGTTCTAACTTCCAAATAATCAAAAGAAGATTAATTAAACCAAAAAAAAAAAAACTTAATCTAAATTTATATTTTTTTAATGCAATAAAATCAAATGATTTTTAAAGTTTCTGATTTATAATATTTGATGTTCAACTTTGAATGTTATGTATTTAATCAGGCTAAGTTTATGTTAAATTTTATATTATATATATTTTTAATACGTTTTAACATATTCGTAGTATATGTTTAATAATTATGGCAACTTTAATTGGGATGAGGTTCGAACCTAAGACATTTTTATAAAAACTAATAAGTAAGATAAATAGTTAATGGACTAAAGTTTATACTAACGGAATTTAAGGTTATTTAAAGGGAAGAAAATTATATATATATATATATATATATATATATATATATATATATATATATATATATAAATAGAGGCTCCGGATCCCATGAGATCCCTATTATAAATGAGATCATGAGACCTCATCCTATCCATCAATTCATTCTAAAAGGATGGTTGTGATTGAATGACAAATATATAGCAAGTAAGGATATTTTTATAGTAGAAGGACAATAATGTAATTGTAGTAGAGTGGTTAATTTTGGATAGAATTAATTTGGAATCTTTAGAATTATATTAGGGTATATAATAATGGTAATAAGTTGTAATAATATTGTTGTAGTGTTGCATCAACATTACCGTGCGCAGAGGAGGGTGCATGCCAAATCAGTTTTAAGCTTGTGAATGGACAGAGGTATGTGTTCAAGGACTTTTTTTTTTTTTTGTGATTTTCGACTACAGGTGTGTGCATTAGTTAGTGAAGGCGTGTGCAACACCATAGACCGGGTACGTTGCGTGTAAGTTAAAAATTTGTTCTGTAATGTGAAGTGCACGCAGGTAGGTTTTTGATCTAATAAGAAAAATATTTTTCTAAACCATTAGGGAACATGGTAGTCGCTGGTGTGTGCATGTAATTGCTTTGGTGTGTGCGAATTGTAGAATGGAGACATGTCAATTATGATCCGTTTAGTGTGTGGATGGTGCATTTATACGGATCTATATGTATTTTTTTTTTCATGAAAGTGTTACTAAGAAATAGTATGAGCTGTCTGTTTCAATTTATTAAATTTCAATTTTAATATAGGGTGGTGTGTGCATGTAATTGCTATAGCGTGTGCGAAATGTGGAATGGGAACTTGACAATTTTGAGCCCGTTATTTTATATCAACATTTATTGTTGGGGGTGGGGGTGGATGCCTGTTGTTTCTCTGTTTTGAAAGAAAATTACTGGTAGAGTAGTATTTGTTTGTTTTGTTTTGTGGACCACAGTTTTTGAATACGGTGGTGTGTGCGTATATGTGCAGTAGCATGTGCAACGTGTGTTGATGGTGCATTTTAACACATCTATATGTATATATTTATTTTATGAAAGTGTTAATAAGAAATATTATTAGGTGTCTGTTTTAATATGCCAAATTTAGATAGTTTACAATGAAAATGATAGCAAAATTAATTTTTCTATGTTTGAATTCATCTGTTTTAGCGCTATATATATATATAAGGTGGTGTGTGCGTTGATGTTCAGATACTTGTGCATTTTGCTGTAACATGGAAGTTGCATACACATGTCACTGTAGACTTCGTTTATTTATAAACAAAAATCATGAACCAAAAAAGAAATTATACATTCGCAAAGTGAAATTTTATTACATTTGGTCTACATTACTAAAATCAGTGCATTCAGTACATTTAATAAAGGACATCAAAAAGATGAAAAATTAATCAATGTAAAAAATAAAGTTCAATAAATAATATATTAAAAAATATATAAGGAAATATCTTATTCTCACAATAAAAGCAATATTTTTAAGATCTGTAACAAAAATATAAGACACAAAAACACATCTATAATGTGAACAATGCACCCACAACACAATACACATGCACCCACCCAAGAAAAACAAAAATCCTAGAAAGCCCCAATTTCTCAAAAAGGAACACACACACACACACAAAAAAAAAAAAAAAAAAAAAAAAAAAACCCTAAGAATATATAAAAGTTTAAGAATATATGAAAATGCCTCACACAGACCAAAATCTACGGAGGCTCACCATATGCACACACCTAATCCACCAATGCACCGACCAAAACAAACACATGCACCCACAAAAATTAAAAGACATATTTGAAAAACTACTAAAAGTTGGCAAAGAAGTAATAACTAAGGACTTTTCTGATTCCATATAAAACAAATCATTACCTTGAATCAAATGTAAAACTATTTTAGTTTTACTTTTACAGGACAAACATTAACTTGAATCTAATGTTATTATACAGGATGCAGTGCAGTGGTTACCATGGGACAGGATAAACTAGAGGGTCAATCACACCATCAGTCCAAAACTAGAGTAGAATATTGCAGAGCTACAAGGTATTTGGCTTCTGAATTTATTTTTGATCATTGCTGCATTCAAGTACTCCCAAAATACTTAACAGTTAAACAATCCTTGGTTCTTGGAGAAGGCTAAGAGGTCATTACATATCTAATCTAATGGTCCAAAACTTCCCCACACATTGGTTCTTATTTAGACGACAAAATATTACCTTGAATCAAATGTTATTGTAAAATGCACCCACCACACAACACACACGCACCCACCCAAGATAAACAAAATCCTAAGAAAATCCAATTTCTCAAAAAGTAACACAGAAAAAAAAAACCTACGAATATAGAAGTGTGAATGTAGCTAAAATATTACATTTAATCATTAATTTATTCACTGGTGAGTATGAAAGGCATTAGCTGTCACCCCTTGCATTCCCAAAGCATTATGATTCCCTCCTTCATCTTCATCAGAATCCAAAGTAAAAGCATAGCAAGCACCCATTTCCATCTGTTGCACCTCTGCACCAATCAGTCTATACTTTCTACTTTCCTGCCTAATCTCATTCTTCTTACAAACTATACAGAAAACTACAAAAATAATGGCCACAAGCAGGGCAAGATGGTAATTGAATTGAAGCTGAAGAGAAGGAGATACTATGTGTGTGGGAAATAAATATTCACTGGTGAGTATGAAAGCCATTACTGCCCTAGCATTCCCAAAACAGAATTATTCCCTCCTTCATCTTCATCGGGGATGTGCCCCTGGTCATTATACCCCCCACACCGGAAAGAATCAACAACAATACAACAAAAAGCAAAAAAAAAAAAAAAAAAAAATACACAAACACAGCAGGTCCTCACCGGGACCCTACCCACCCCCCCACCAATCACCACCACGCAAGACAACCCATTCCCTCCCCCCTCCCCCCCCCCCCCTCAAAACACAGCCATGCAATGAACCCACAGTCCCGAAAACACGCAAAAAAAAAAAAAAAAAAAAAAAAAAAAAAAAAAAAAAAACCAACATTGCACTAGACGAAATAACCTGCGAAAAAGCACCGAAAAAAACCCTAAAACCCCCCACCCCCACCCCCACCCCCAAAACAGGAACTAGAACACTAAATAACCCCGCTGACATTGCTCTCCCCACCGTAAAAATGCAAAATCAGTACAAAACACACAAATAAACGAAGCAAACCTAATTGACCAAACAGCGACGGAATACCTGGAATGGAACCGGAAGACCCACCCTTCTGACGCTCGGACCGCTTATTGGTAAAACCCGCCATGACTTCTGCTTGGACGGCACGGGCTGAGCGTAACAGAGACGGGGCTTCTCGTAGAGTGAACGGCCGGCGAAAAAAGGAACCGCAGAAGAAACTAATGGAGACGGAGAAGATAACAAAGTCACGCAAGGAAAAGGAGTTGAAGAGACGGCAATAACTCTGCAAAAATCTTGATACGTGATTTGAGACTATAATTAGCCCTGCATACGCCTAAAAAATCTGCATACTAATTAATATACCGTAATAAATATATCAACAAAAAGACACCAATGCCCCTAATTCTAAAAAAACCAGCGCACATGGCCTTATACATCATTAAATCTGGAGCTTTAAAAAATACAAATAAACGAACAAGATTGAGCCTCACGATCTCACCTGTCAATAGGGACCTCACCGGATCCAAAATCTATATATATATATATATATATATATATATATATATATATATATATATATATATATATATATAGAAAGCAAAACAAACGAGTATATATTATTACTAAAGATGCGGCAAAATAATATCAGGCGGGACAGTGTCCCTGTACATCGTGGCCTGAGCCGAAACAGTCGAAGCTAAAGTATGAGCAATAACATTTAGATTCCTAGGTACCGAGGAAATAAAACAATCTGAAAAAGTAGCCATAGTAGCCCTGCAGTCATCAATCACAATTCCAACATATGATCTTGGTGTAGAAGATAGGTTGGTAATGTAGCTTTTCAGAGTTTCACAGTCCGTGTAGAGTGTAACGGATGTAATACCACGAGCCTTCAACCAAGATAACGCCTCTATACAAGCGAGTGCCTTAGCGGTAAGGGCATTTTCATAGGGTGGCAGTACCCCATTCATAGGAGCTGCGAAACCATCCCCATCCGTAAGTAGCACTGCTCTGCACGTCGATGTCCCTGTCTCCGGATCATGTGAGGCGTCGAAATAGCATCGTAAACCAACAATAATTGGAGAAAGCTGTTGCTACGTTGCTAGAGCCGTAGCGTGCTGGCCTGCCACAGTCCACACTTGCAACGGCGTTGTGGCTCCCTTTTAAACATGCTTTGGCATTCGCAGAAAAACCTCCCAAGCCGTCGTATTTCTCACCATCCACAAATGGTAGAGAACTGCAACAACTTGCACAAGAACATCCCAGGAAGAAAATGATATAATAAATGGTAAATAAGGAAAATCATTAAATAAGACTAAAATCAAAATAATATAAACTATTCATTTTAAGAAACAATTATACTGACTTTTTTTTTTTTGTTCCAGTTAAGGACCTAACATTATTGGCTCTTATTAGATTGTATATAGATATAGAGATTGTAGATTGTAGATTCTAGATGTAGATGTAGATGTAGATATTTTTAATTTATCAAAAGTGTTATATCTTGAGCCGTAATAATATGATCGCCCGGGTGACTTACTAGTTTAAAACAAAAGATGCAACCCTAACTCCCTCGAGTCTCTATCTCTCATTCAACCCTTCCGTCTAAGAGCATCCACATCATTGAGTTATTGTCAGATGAATTATCTTGGGTGGAGTTAATAACAAATGTGGAATGAAATTATTTTAGAGAAGAATTGTCCTGAAAATATCAAGATAATATAAAAAAAAAAAAAAAAAAAAAACTAACACTGGCTGTGCGCGTGCACTGCACGCGCCTGACGCTACAATGTTTTTATTAATTTTTTGTTATTTTTTTTTTCTCCACTCCAACATTCTCCACTCCAACATTCTCTTTCCTAATACGTTATCCCAAAATCTCCCCAATTGATGCAGATGCTCTAAGTCTTACAAGCCGACTCTTCCACCTCTGCCGTAGTCTTCCCTCACCATTCACCAACGACGGCAACGAGTCTGGAGTCAGTGGAGTACTCGCCGGAGACCAGTGACCAAGACGACCACTCTCTGTCTCTCCCTCCGCAGTCCGGCAGATTCGTCTGTCTCTCTCGACCGCGGTCTGACTCTCTCCCTCTGTCGTCAGTCATCGTCGTCTCTCATCGGCCACCACCCTGGTCTCTCGTCTCTCACCGCCGGCTCACTCTCTCCATCCGTCGTCTGAAGGTAAATTTGTACATATTAAAATTAAAAAGAATTTCAATTATTATACGTGCTGCCATGGCTGGATTTTTTGCAAATATATGGAGCTCTAATTGTTTGAAAATACCCTAATAGGACTTACTACTGTTTAGTGTTTATTGTTTAATGGTTTATTATTGTAATGTTTGTAATGCATATGTTGGCTAAGTTTGTAATTCTGTTTAGACTTTAGTATAATGTTTGTAATGCATACTGTTTGCAAAGTTTGTAATGGTTCATAGCCAATAGCCAATAGGACTTGCCAGTTATATTGTTTGTAACTTTGGTTATAACTCACACAGTGTATTTTGATTAAGGATTCAAGGCTTTAACCATATGAATTTTTGATAATATTAGTCTTTTTTTTTTTTTTTTTTTTTTTTTTTTTTTTAAATAGGCATAAATTAAAAAGGGTCCCCGAAAAATCTCTGTAGGGCGGGAATGTAAAGAAATCATTGATTTTTGTTTGTTTTACTTTTTTTGATGACCGCGCGATTTCAATAATCTTCAATTCCTTTTGTTCTTTTTCAGTATGACAGATACCGGATATGCTTATGCTTGTTTCACATGCCTTGATGGTCTCCATCGTATCAAAATTCCTATCACTCCAGGTTGCAAACATGAATTAACCGTTGAGCATGTATGTCCCCCTCAACTTCCATCATATCCGGCACTCCTCAGTCATAATCATGTTGTATATGTGGTTGGTGGCACAAAGGGAGCTAGCTTTGAATTTAGTCGCGGGATGTATATTTTCGATCCCAGTAGGTTTCAAAAATTATCTAGGGAAAGTCACAAATTATCTATGGATATGGGAAGTGAGTTCTGTCTCGACTACACCACACGGGAGGATTTTGAATCTATGGTGGAACCACGGGTTATTCGCGTAGCTGAGGATAAGATTTTCCTACTCTCAGTAAATAATCATCAACATTATGAGCATAGGGTCAAAGAGCAATTGTGTTTTCAGTACTTTAACCCCATTAGAGATTACTTTGAAACCCTTCCATCTCCCCCTCTCGCACATGATCATGTACTTGGTTTTACTGTCACATTAGGTCACTTTTTTTCTTAGCGGCCATATATATTTGTTTGTTAGTGACCAACGGAGTAAGTACCCTAAGAGTGTCTTTAGTTTCAACACCAAATTCTCAAAATGGGAGGAGAAGATGTATTTGTTGGATAGATTTGATAAGAAACAAATTCCTCTTCCTTTTAGTCACCATGGTGACATAGGACTTTCAAATGAGTTTTCGGGAAAAACTCATATTCTGGTTGCTTTTTCTGGTACTGAGCTTTGTGCATACCAAGTTAAAATTCATGACGGTGATTTCGAACCCATATCTTACAGGGTTCTAAAGGAAAGTTGTTATCCTGAAGGCAGGGATAACTTTATAAGGGATGGATATAGAACTTATCTGACACGGCTGGCTGATTTGGGAGATGGAAAATTTTGTGCAGTGACTGGTTCTTATAGTATAAATCTTTTATTGTATGTCTTCCAAATTGATTTTAAAGTTGAACATGATATCCAAAACTCAACAAGTGGTGTTGGAGCCTCCTCAAGCCTCCTTTACTACAAGAAGTTGCAGCTTGGGGATAATATCCAATCTTTTTGTATTGCGTAAGTACACCTTCTTCCCATTCATATATGCTTAAATTAGTGTTGATCATTGTTTTTCTTTGCTTACTGTTTATGTATTTATTTCCAGCTCTGCCCCTCCAGAAGACAGCTCTGCCCCTCCTGAAGACCAAGACATGTTGGGGAGCACAAGTAAAAGGGGGAGGAGTGAGGATGAAGCCCTGTACATGACTAAGACCCTCCGTTTCTTTTGAGGTAGTGATCTTATCAAAATTGTTATCTATTAAATTTGAAAAAGTTGATTTTTACATGCTGGACTTTGAGCAAGTTCCTGAGATTCTTGATGGGTATTCTCATTTGCTACTCCAACATTTGCTGTATTATGTAGCCCTTGCTCAAAAGGTGTTTACAACTATTCTATTATTGTGACTTCATTGTCTTTCCTTGCAGGTGTGTTGATGTGGGCATGATCATGCTTGGTGCCTTGGACTGACCGTCTTTTTAATTCTGCTTTAGTTGTCAATGGCCTGTCAAGGGAAGCAAGGTTGAAACCAGAAGTTTTGTTGTTTTAACGAATTGTGTTTATGAACATTTTCATCACTTGTGACCTGCTCTTTTATTGAAGCACGAAATTGTAGTTATATGCCTTGGCACAGAGTATTAACTATCAACTGTTGTTTCGTTTCTATTTTTTATGACACAAAGCATGTAACTGTATTATATGGGATGAGTCTGTTCTGGAGCTTATGGAATGCTAAAAAGTTAATTTAGCTGTTTGTTATGTATAGAGAAATGGTTACAAACTTGGCATATTTACTCTTTAACAGTATATTATATTGTACATATATGTACTAATTGCCCCATCTATATGTGGATGCATTATCTATTCCTATGATATTAATTTACTAGTCTTTGGAAATTTAGATTTTATTAAAACTATGAATTTCCCACTGATAATGGAGTCTGGAAGCAACATGAGAAAGCCCCTGTTTTCCCTTTAGTACCTAAGGAGGACAAAATGGATGAAGAAGAGTTGGGGAAAATGTTGAGAGAGCGCTACAAAGCTGGTTCTAGTTTTGCTAAATTTGCAGAAGATGGATATGAAAAGAAATGATCAATTCAAGAGGACATATCTGTGCCCTCCTCCAAAGACCCTACCTACTATGGAAAGTCAAATGCATGGTATACGTTTTTCCGGTAATAATTTTTTGAAAAATAGTTTTTTCATAATCACGTTCATTAGCAATAACTTTTCTTCCATTTTTCACTTCAGGTTTCTCACTTTCTTGTGTGCTGTTATTTTCAACTTCTAGTTATGCAATTTGATTGTGAACTGTAGGTTGGTTGTGAAAGGCATTCAGGTTTCTGCCTTATGCAGAAATATGTGGACTTGGGATTTCTGGGAGTGAAGCTCCAAATAATCTCCACTTTTGCTCTTGATCATGAGAAAGGCTTTGTTTATATTGAAGCAGGTAAACAGTGTGATGTTAACCGGGCACTTTTCCTATTCTTCCTGATATTATTTCTCTACAGTTTTTTGATTGATGATTACTAGTGAATGGATGCTTATTGATTTTCAGAAGTGTTCTGTGCTGGTTGTATTTTGTAAGTCAAGGAAGCATTTGTGTGCAGGCTTTTAAAGGGCTCTGCAGTATATATTCCAGTTCCAAGGAATGAAATTTCTCAACTGATATCTGCAATGGAATTTCTGAGGGCATGTGGGCTCATGTCAAGAATGGCAAATACAAGAGGCATCTATCGCAGGTACTTTGAATTTGTTATCCGTTGTGATTGGCTGTTTTTCGATTGCAATGTCAGTAATCTTATCTTTTAACATTTTGAAAGATGACCATGTAGGTTGTGGCAGTGAATGATGTACAGAAAAAAAAAAAAGTCACAGTGAAGCTGATTCTAAGAATAGACTTGCAAGCACTGGCTGAGAAATTTGTAATAAAGTGTTTTTTTTTCCCTCATAAACACCTGTTTTATTCCTCATTGCTTGCTTAGAGAGATATTGAGTAGCTAATTACCTTTGAATGTAACTTTACTGCTAAGAATCCATTGATCTCTGTAATAGGTAGACGAGTATTGGAGCTCAAAGGTTATTCCAATAATTGAAAGCCATACAATATGCAATATTAATAGGCTGATAGTGCCAATACTTGAAGTGAATTCATTATAGTATTTGTATTTGCAATTTAAACTTCATCGTTGATCTTATCAGATGTGTGTTTATTTTTACTACATATTTATAGGGTGGAGGAGTTGTTGCCAAGAAGCTAGGCTTAACTTCCGTTCAATCACCAAGGCTAATCCGCTCTACTGAGCTTGAGTAATATTTCTCACTTAATTTCTTTTTCTTCATTTGGTGGATTAACAGTATAAATAAATGATATTCTCCCTTGTTAAAATTGTAGTGATTTTCTTCCTCTCATCACATATCGCAAGGATAGGATCGTGAGACAAACGAGATGGTTGAAGTTGTTGATGGTAAGATGCTGAAAGAAGGCTATTTTATATAAGGTGTCTTTGTGCTTTTGGGGTGTAATGCCTTCTGAAACTGAGCTCTTGAAGTTTGAGCCTTACAAGTATAGGTAATATACTTGAATTCTCCTTTCATTGAAGCTAAGATGTTAATCTTTGCAGTACTGCATTGGATGGAATTCGTGCACAGTACCCGTAACGCCTGAAGCCTTTGAAGGAGATCCATGCCCGAACGTCATGAAGAAACTGTCTGCTGAGGCTGTATGCAGTTAATGGGGTACTCGTTTAGTTCCATTCATTCCACGATTCGTTTAGTTCCATTCTGTTTTCCATTATCATTAATTTTGACTTTGCCGGGATGAAGTTGAACAGCTATCTGACAAAAGACAACAAAAGTTGCAGAGATGATTGTGGAAAGGATCATGTTAATGTATATGTGTATATGTCTGAAACTGCAAAACAAGATTCTTTGAAAGAATTGATTGGGAAAACCCTCAATGAGTATATGGAAGTGATTTTAGAGTATGTTAGGGTTTCAGAATTTCAGTGTTGTATGGTAGTGTATTAAATTGCAAGCAATCATTTCATTGCTTTTAGGATTCAGAATTTAAACCTTCTACTACTACTATGCAATTACTACATTAAATTGCAAATGCTTCATTGTTTATTGGAGCAAGGTGTAAAAGTACAATGTTACAATGACATGAAATCTCTCTTATATTGCATTCCAAGTTCCTACCTCTTCTGTTCATAACATCTTAGGGGCAAATTATTGCATGGACCATGGTCCACACAACTTGTGTGGACCATGAAATAAGGTACATTTTTAATATACTAAAGGTACATTATTTGTGTATTGAAGATACATTATTTGATAGTATATATAAAATAATGTACTTTTAGTACTAAAATAATGTACCCTTAAATAATGTACTTTTAGTATACAAATAATGTATCTTTAATATATTAAAAATTTACTTTTTATTTATGGTCCACACAATTGTGTGAATCAGGGTGCATGCAATAATGATTGGATCTTAGGGCCCTAGTCTAGTGCGTTTACTAATGACAAATTCTCCTCTTCTATTCAAAAGATCTAAGGGCTCAAGTGTGTTTATTAATGACAAAAATGCTCCGGTCTATTAACAGCACCATACAAGAAGTGAACAACGCATTAATTTTTTTATTTTATTTAGTAAGCAACAAAATGTGATAGATAAAGCGAGTGTTTGGTAAATGATTGTTAGCTGATTAGATTAGTGGGTGACTAGTTGATATCATTAGCTGATGGTAGAAAAGTGTTTAGTAAATTAGCTGTTAGTTGATAACTAATTATATACAAAATGAGTTTTCTAAAAAAGCTGATCGAAAAAGATATTTTGAGCAACTTTTTGAATTTTAACATTTTGAAGCTAAATTATTACAAAAAACTAATTAATCAAACACACATATTGTTTGTTTAACTAAGTCAAACAGTTAATAGTTATGGTCAAATGAGCCATTTTTAACTGATAGACTAACTATTTATCAAACAGGACAAAAGCTTTCATTACCCTTCACTCCTTCAGTAGAACATGTTTATTAGTTGTTAAGGTCTTGTCTCTTTTTATGCATAATTTTACAATAATTTCCCTTGTTGTAAGTGATAATGAGATTATGAACCTTCAGGTGATCCAGATTTTCTTTGGTTTTCTTCTTACAAGACAATAGCTAGTCTGAATCTATCTTAATCTGGGCATTTGTCAAAATGTTGCTACCTAAAACCATATGATTGAGTATCAACATAAACTAACAAGGTTAAACAAGGCAACCACCCAACTGACAAACTTGGATTCACCAATTAGATGCACACTTGATTTGAAGGAATTTGACTTCACAAAAGAAGAAAGTAAGAGATTTCTAAATTTGAAACTCGAAAGAACTATTCGTTACAACCCATGTCATGATTATTAAAGTCACGATTTTCCAAGATTCAACAAAGTCTTGTGAAACAAAAGCTGCGGATCGAATTCCAAGAGAATGACACAACAAAGAATAATCTCAATGAAATAACTCAATACTAACGGATTCCAAGTAAAGATGCAATAAGGATTCATTTCCAAGCAATAGATCAACACTAGTGGATTCCAAAAGGAGATATGAAAGAAAGTTGATCTTGAATCAATAGTTCAAAGGCTCAATAGCTCAATAACAAGGAAAGAATACTACAATGGACGGTCTCAGGACTATGGCAACGAAACCCGAGAGCACAAAAGGACACATAGTCAATAAAATAGTCCTTCAAGAACAAAACACTTTCAAGAATACTCAACAGACATAAGCTCATAAGAATAACTCAACAAATACGGATTCCAATGGCATAACAACAACAATTAGATCTTGACTCAACAACTCAATGGATTCTAACAATATGGACTCAAGGATTCAAGGATAATAAGCTCAAGTCAAATACAATGAGATTCCAAGAATAAGGCTTTCAACAAGATCTTACTAGTTTCAAGATTCAATTATAATAGCATTGCAAGTCAACGAAAGCTCATAAGAATACTTAGAAAGAATCTTTAAGCATTATAGATGCAGATTCAACAATAAATCATGGAATGTCAAGAATAGACGTTAGCAATAATTCAAGGCTCAACTCAATCAAAACAACTTCCCATACTCAGCTCTAGACATTAGATAACTTTGATAGACATTGCAAACAAACTGGAAGTAGTCAGAATAACTCAGGAATCAACAACAAACTGCGGAGAGATTTCCAGAAAGCGTAAGCTCAAACTCGACAGTACTAATTCAAGGATTATCATGCCATCAACAAGGGATCTAGAATAGAAGATTGACACAATGAACACAACGAGATACTCAAGGATTAACTACTTCTAACTTTCATTTTCTTAAAGCAAGGCTTACAACAAATAAGGCACATAAACAAGAAACAAGTATAAGCTCTTATACTTTTCACATTAGCAGCTTTTACAAAACTTCCACTTTCAAACTTTAACTTTCAAAGTCTCAACTTCTAGCTTTCACTTCAACTTCTCACTGATAACTTCTCTACTCTACTTTCAAAAGATAAGCAAAAGTACTTTAAACACGTTGATAAAGCACATAAACAGATAAGCAAACGCAAGGGAACTCACAACCTCACTGTGTTCCTAACTGATACTTAGAGTTCCTCTTAACTCTGATTCTCATACTTAGTCACTGAACTTAGAGTCTTTCTTATCTCAAATTCATAACTTAGAGCTCTTTCTTATCTCAAATTTCATAACTTAGGGCTCTTTACCTAATCTGATCCTTCCTAGGATTCCTCCTTTAAAGTCCTCTTCTTAACTTGTCTTTCTTAAGACTTCAACTTAGAGGTCTTTCCTTAACTTGCCCTTCCTAGGACTTTTACTTAGAGTTTCTATACTCAATCTTAAGGGTCAAACTTCCTAAGTCTCCTGCGGTTCGTATCGCTTTGATACCAATTTGTAACACCCCACTTTTCTTAAACTTAATTAAAGTTCTAAAACCAAATTAAGATAAACTAAGCAGCGGAAAAACAAACTTAATTATCAAACTTAGTGGGAATGCCACCGCCACAACCACCTTCCCACGGTGATTGCACAGGCTAAGGGTAAAACTAAACATCAAGTCAAACTAACCTCCGAATTTTACTACATTAAAGTAACTTGGGGAAAAGTACCTCGATGTCTATCACCAAATATACATAGCATAAGTCTACAATCTATCATCAAAACATCGTAATAAATGAAAAGAGATTAGACTATTGAATCTACTAAACTAGTCTAACTCGTACATCCCTCCAACGCTGGGCCCACCTGAAAGGGGTTTTGCAAAACAACAAGTAGACAAGTAGGAAAACACTCTTTAGCACGAAGCTAAGGATAACTACCCTCAACCCTGTAAAGTACTACAATATATACTTTGGAAAAACATTTGTTCACAAACTCAAGTTTAACAATCTCAATCACTTAGACAAGTTTTAATATAAACCACAAAACTTTCTATATGCTCACAACCTAAAAGATCAATAGGCATACCTCAACGATATCAAACTTAACAACATGCTCATACTATCGCATACATATCGTAGCAAATCTAAATCATGTAAAGCATATCATCAACAATCTCATGCTAACACATAACTTAACAAATAACTTCATGCTATCAAACAATAAGGAAATAATCTCATGCTTTCAAGTTCTCTTCATGTAAGGTAAATATATATCAATATGCAACTAAGGCAATCATACTCAATATACAACCTCAAGTGATCATTCTCAATATGCAATTTAGTGCAAACATTCACATTATGCAATCTCGTGCAATACTATACTCAAATGCAATCTCGTGCAATACTATAAGTATACTCATACACTCGTTTGTAAAATATAATACTTTCTGTGGAGGCCTCTTTCTTTTCTCAGAGTCGCAATGACCCGTTCTCTATCTCTTGAGTCTCTTGACTCGCTTTCTTTCTTTCTTTTCTCAGAGTTGCAATGACTCGTTCTCTATCTCTTGAGCCTCTTGACTCGCTTTCTTTCTTTCTTTTCTCAGAGTCGCAATAACCCGTTCTTTATCTCTGTGGAATCAGGTATCGAACTTTTAGCGTGCACACCCCCTGTCCAGGATTCCAAGCATGGCGGGTAGTTTCCAACCTCGTAACATGGGAATACACCGCGTTACATATACTGAGACCGCAATGTCCATAATAATCATCCGAGAGGACATAGTCCAAACGAGATCCTCCAAAACCTCACTGATATAGATAATATATAACACTCGTGCAACAATCTAATGCTACTTCAGGTCACTTGGAACAAATTGCATAGTTTTACAACGTTGAATGGTCTAATTGTACTTTTTTTAGTTGGGTGGTCCAATTACATTTTCACGTTACATTTAATGGCTAATTTAAACTTTATTCCTTAAAAAAAAATGTGCTTTTTATTTATATTCGCACAATTTGTGAATCATGGTTCATGCAACGATTGTGGCTTAGTATTTAGCAGGATTTATTAACCGGGTTACCAAATTCGCCCGATTTGCCACCCTTTGGAGACACGTGGCGCATTCGCGCTTGCGTTCCCACTCCCACCACTTCACAAATTTCCATTTCTATCCTCAAACTCGACGTAGGTCACGTCTCTACTCACGAGTCTCGACCCTCACTCAAAACCCTCCTTTTTCTTCGATTTTTCTTTGTAATTTTCCTCAATTTTTTTTGTTTGATTCTACATAAATCTCAATCTGGAAAATATGAGTAATTCTGAAAAGGATCAGTTCGACATGTCCGATCTCAGCTCCTCCCTCCCCGCCGCCGCCGCCGGTATTTATCGGTTCTCCGTACGGCATATGCGTTTAGCTAGTTTGATTTCAATTCAATTTTTGTTTAATGTTTTTCTCCGTTTTTGTTTGTAGCTTTGAGCGCAGAGGATCGCGCTGGCTTAGTTAATGCGTTGAAGGTGGTGAAAGTTTTTGTACTGTTGTGTTCTCTGCATTAAATTTGTACTGTTTTTCAATGAGTAGATGATTCTTATGGCTTTGGTGTTTGATTTTGTGCAATCTGGTGATATATATATAGAATAAGCTTCAGACTTTGGCTGGGCAGCACTCGGATATTCTCGAGACGTTGACACCGAACGTACGGAAGCGTGTAGAAGCTCTGAAAGAGATTCAGGTTTGAATTTCATTTGTAATTTTTGATTTATTTTCTATTATTTTTTAGGCACTCTTGTGTTCGAATGATTTTATAACTTGCCTGATGATAGATTAATGGCTTCAGTCTTGTTACCGGGAACCTCACCCTACTTTTTGTAATCACTTCTCCAAAATAGTGAAAGGACTGAAGAATAAGGTTGATGTGTTGTTTGTGCTTGCAGAGCCAACATAATGAGATAGAGGTCAAGTTTTTTGAGGAGAGAGCAGCACTTGAAGCTAAATTCCATAAGCTGTATGAACCCCTTTACACCAAGGTAAAAAGCATATCTCAATAATTATTACCTCTTGGAATAATATTTGGGTAAAATGGATCTTTATTATATTTCTATAACTCAAAGTTCTTTATTGTTTAGAGACATTTCAACTGATTTCACTTAGAAAATTTTCTAGGGTGTTTCCCCAACCTAATAACATAGGTCTGATCATTTTTGCAGAGATATGAAATAGTGAATGGTGTTGTTGAAGTGGAAGGTGTTAGTGAAGCTTCTGTTGATAAGGGAGATGACAAGGGAACAGAAGGTGAGACATACTTCTTTCTGTTGATGACATCATTTATTTTGACTTTCACTATCCATTCTGTTTCTAGGGTGCATGAGTATTATGAATGGACATTCAGTTTAATACTAGCATGATATGTTTGTGCAGAAAAAGGTGTGCCCAACTTCTGGTTGAATGCGATGAAGATGAATGAGATACTGGCAGAGGAGGTAACCTCTTGAGATTCGATATTTGATTACTGTGTGGATGTTAATCCCACTCTTTAAACTAAGCTGACGTTACTTGTTCAGATCTCAGACCGGGATGAAGAGGCTCTAAAATATCTCAAGGACATAAAATGGTGTAGGATTGATGATCCAAAGGGTTTTAAGCTTGAGTTCTTCTTTGACGCTAATCCTTTCTTCAAGAACAACGTCTTGGTGAAAACATATCACATGGTTGACGATGATGAGCCTATATTGGATAAGGCAATTGGGTAGTTGTCCTCAACACCTGTCTTTTATATATTATGCCCTGTTTGTCAGTTAATTTATGTTTGGTGGCTTATAGGATGGATATTGAATGGCATCCTGGCAAATGCCTGACGCAAAAGATCCTAAAGAAGAAACCAAAGAAGGGGTCGAAGAATGCCAAACCTATAACCAAAATTGAGAAGTGTGATAGTTTTTTCAACTTTTTTAACCCTCCACAAGTTCCAGAGGATGATGATGATATTGATGATGATACTGTAGGTTCTTCCCCTTTTTGTTTATATTATCATTGTTTCATACTGTTTGGTAATAACACTTCAAAACTTACCTTACTCTCTTAACTTTTGCTGAATCTTTGAACAGGCTGAAGAACTTCATAATCAAATGGAACAAGACTATGATATTGGGTGTGTCAACAATCATTTTTCTTTTCTTTTCTTTTCTTTTGTGGGAGTGTGGTGGCCTTTTTAAATCTTGTCGTTTTCCTCCACTCTTCACTCGCATATAAATTGTATATGATGTTATCTTTTTGTTAGTGATTTGTAAATTTGATATGACGTTAGTGGTTGCTTTTTGCAGCTCAACTATTCGCGACAAAATCATACCTCATGCTGTATCATGGTTTACGGGGGAGGCTGTTCAAGGGGATGAGTATGAGGATATTGAAGAAGATGATGATGATGATGACGACGCCGATGAAGATGATGAGGGCGATGATGATGAAGATGACGAGGAGCAGGAAGAAGGGAAGAGTAAAAAGGTGAACTTTTAGTGAACCTACATAATTGCAGAGATTTATATTTTCATTTATAATTGGGCAGTGAAATTAACCTTTGAAATATCATTGTAGTCCATATGGATCAAAGTTAAGACACAATAGTCATTTGATATTTTAAATGGTTTAGTAAACTGCAGAAGAGTGGGCTAGCACAAGTCGCGGAAGGACAACAGTGATCAGTTCTGCAAAAGAACAGTTTGGAGCTAGATAGAGTCATGCTGTCTTTGGTTTCTATACATATATATAGATATTTGTCCTTTTGATTAGCCTTTTTGCTTCTCCTTGCGTCCTTGGGCATTTTAAGGTGTTATGCATTTGTTATTATTTTATTAATTATTGAATGTTTATTTGTTTATTTTATTTATTTTTCATTTTTCAATTCTTATATTTTATACTCCCCATATTTTGCCGTCTATTCGTTGTTAGTAATTTATCGGTTTTCAGTACTTCTGTTAGAATTGTGATATTGGCGTATTGCATAACATGCACTGTAGTTATATTTTTATATTTTATTGGCTATTATTGAAAAGTGAATGAAATTATCTTTATCCTTGCAATATTTCCATTTTTGCAAAAATGGCTTACTCTCAACTCTATATCATCAAATTTGAAATTATTTCACTATTATCTTTACAATTTCAACTACTTTTTAGAAGTGAGACTTGCTTTCATATCAAATTCAATAATAATAATAATAATAATAATAATAATAATAATAATAATAATAATGCTATAATAATAGATTGATAAAAAAAATAAAAACAAATAGTTTCATAACTTGAAAATTTGCGTGTTATTTTTTTGAAGGAAAATGTCACATGCAATAGGGATTTAATAAATCAACTATAATTAACTTATAATAATAAATAATTAACTTGTAATAGTAACTTAATTAATGAACTTGTAGAGTTGTGGTGGTAATCTAATAATCTTTTAGTAGTAAGTTAATTAACAAATTTGATTTATAAATTAATATAAGTGTCATTTAAAAAAAAAAATTATTTAAAGAAAAAAGATGTAAGTTAAAAAAGATTTACAGAAAAAAAATACTCCGTTTTAATTATTGGAAATTAAAATTAAAATTCTAAATACATTTAAAAATCTTTCAACTATAATCTTTCAACCAATCCTAATGATTTTATTAAATACTTTTTGTAACGATTAAATACTTCTGATTAACCAAAGATTTATTAGAACTAGATATCAAAACTCATTAAATAAATATCTCTTTATTTTTAGAATTTGACACCATACAAAATTAGGAGTAGAATTTTTCATAAATATATAATAAGATCAATCAATTTATATAAATAACTAATAAATGTGAAAAATTTTATAGCACTTATTAAAAGTTGGATATTACAAATAACATTTTTCTAATAGTCTGAATATAAAAGAGAGTATAGTACTAAAACCTGCACTCCCCAAGTGTTCAAAATGGATTTAAACATGTAGGATTGTAGGGTTTAGGGTTTAGTATGAAGTTACATAAGTCTAAAGGGTTGGTATACATATAAGAGGCCAGACTTAAGCTTCCACATTGGCACAACTCTTTCAAGAAAATCTTCAATTCTAACAGTATATTTAATCAGATCAGTAACTTAATAATCTATATTTGGCATGCGATTTGCAAGCGGGTTTTTCTCTCCTTGGCGGTCTACAACAGCCGCCTCGGTTGTGGTCAATAATAGTGAGACGCTGCAAATAGAAATGGTTGTTTGTTTATAGAATTGAAGATGAAGAATAGTAAATAAATGTTCAATGTATAATGGTACAGGAGTACAAGACTCGTGGTTCTCACCTGGCAGCGTCCATCAATGCTGTTCTAACAACTTTGAGAGGATCAATAATTCCAGACTTTACCATGTCCACATATTGATCTGCATATACAATGAGAATAGTGTGAATAGGTTGCCCATTATAATTACGATATACTCCATAATACTTAACTGTGACTGAATTTGGTTGGAATCATTTTGGGGAGGAATCAGGATTCTGGAATCTAATTATACGAGTAGCATAGAAATCATGGTTCCTTAGGCTCTAACCTTTGGCTGCATCATAGCCAAAATTTAGATTATCTTGTTCCAAAAGCTTCCCAACAACCAAAGAACCATCTACACCAGCATTTGATGCTATTGTGAAAGCAGGTGCCTGTTGTAGGAAACGCAAACCCATTCAGCCCAGAATGTAACTTTGTGGAGAAAATATATACGAGTATATATATATATATATATATATATATAGAAACTCCTGGCTTGACACACCTTAAGAGCATTTTCAATGATCTGAACTCCTCTTCTTTGACTGTCATTTGCAGTATTGAGGTCTTTCAGAACTCTTGTTGCATGTAAAAGAGCAACACCACCACCTGAAAACAGCAATACCCAATGATCTTTGTTTGTTTTTTTTGGTTGGGGTGGGGTGGGTGGGTGGTGAGGGGGGGGGGGGGGAGTTGATTTACTGAAGCAATATAGTATACCTGGAAGAATGCCCTCTTCCACAGCAGCCTTTGTTGCATTTAAAGCATCAGTAACCCTGTCTTTCCTCTCCCCAACTTCTGCCTCACTCACCCCTCCAACCTGAAAAGGCAGAAGGAATAAAATAAAATGTAAAGAATGCAAGAGAATAAGAGTGGAGCATCATATGACAAGGAATATACCTTGAAAACAGCAACACCACCGGAGAGCTTTGACAACCGTTCCTGTGCTTTCTCCTTATCAAACATGGCAGTACTCTTATCCATGGCTGTTCGCAGCTGTTGAAAAGTGCATCAGTTTTCATTTGTCAGTGCACCAAATATAGTTCATTCTATCAATAACAAGATAACAACTATCTAGGCAATGCAAACAAAAAGTTGACTCTTTATCCTGAAGGAATAGTGTCTTCCTTGTATCTCTACGCGTCAATTTATATAATCCAGAGGAACAAACCAAAAAGATAAAAAGGCTAGACTCACAGTGCTGGCTCCAAGATCAAGTTGGGTTAGAGAAAAATGTATGCTATCTGCCTATCTTACATGATTTTTCATTAATATAGAAACAAATTTGAGAGTAGCATCACCTATCTATCTATGCTGTTTGAAACAAATTTATCCTGGAGTCAGATTGTATGACAAACTGACAGGACATGAAGAGAATATGCTTCAAATTATAGAGTTCTAGAAGCTGATGCAGAAAGCATATTTTCTGAGGAACACAAAAAGTGAAGACACTACCTCCTCACATCTTTCTTCAATTAGCTTCTTGTCGCCACCTCCATGTATGACTATTGTGTCATCGACAGAGACAGTGACCTGCTCCAATGAAATCAGCACATGGACACCCAAATATATATTACTGTGTTTCACAAAAACCTTAACAAAAACATCAAAATGCGTACCATGAAACTCAATATACAAACCTTTTTGGCAGTACCAAACATATCAAGTTGCACTGCGTCAAGAGTTAAACCACGTTCTTCGCTAATGACCTACAGAATAATTAGGCCTCAGAAAATATATATATATATATATATATATATATATATATATATATATATATATATATATAAGTATCACAAAATAGGAAAGAGAGCCACTCACCTCCCCTCCAGTAAGTATTGCAAGGTCCTCCAAATTGGCTCGTCTATTATCCCCAAAACCAGGAGATTTGATGGCACAAATCTAAAAAGAAACTAAGCAAATCATAGAAATCCCACGGACAGAAGTAACTAATGACAACAGACAATGCAATAGGAAGTGAATCATAAGAAAATAAATATTACCTTTACCCCGGCTTGATGCTTGTTGATAATTAGCATAGTCAAAACATCACTGTCCACATCTTCGGCAACAATTAGCAGAGGCCTTCTTTTCTATATATGTACACAGCCACACACACCACAATAAAAAAATCATCATAGCAAATATTTGACTTGAAGATTTTATCAGTGTCTTTACTTTTAGATACCCATTTTGAGGGGAAAGTGCTTACCTGTACAGCCATCTCTAGTATCTTCACAGCTGAGTATATGTTAGAAATCTTTTTGTCGTGAATAAGAATCAAGGGATTTTCCAGTTCCTATAACATTAAAGCAACTTTATACATATCATGAGCACAAACACACTCTCAAAATGAGAATACTTATGCAAACTATGGGGCCAGTATGATGTGAGCATTTGTATTACATAATGATAACATGGTCAAATATCCAATCCTAGAATTAAGAGCAAGTATTTGCAGAAATCTTTACATACACATTTCTGAGTCTTTGCATCTGTAACAAAATAAGGGGATATATAACCACGAGCAAGCTTCATCCCTTCCACCACTTCCAACTCATTATCCAGGGTATTTCCATCCTGCACAAGTTTGCAAGTTTTGATTTCATGCGCTTACCATTATGTATACGACTTGGGGAATGACATAGAACATGCATGAGCATACTCACAGCAACAGTAATCACTCCGTCCTTGCCTACTTTCTCCATTGCCCGTGCTATTAATTCTCCAATTTCCCTCTCACCATTTGCAGATATAGTTGCTACCTATTAAAAAGTAAATAACTCCAATAAGAGGTGGTGGATAAGTTCAAGAGTGCCATATATTTTCACGTAGGAACAATCAAAAAAATGTTATTTGTCCAGTGAAATCAATATGTTTGCTCCTGAAAAAAAAAATCAACTAGTTGAAAAAACAAGGATAGCTAGCTATATTTCCAGAGAGCCTAAAAAATTATGAATTTACAAACATATACCCCAATAGTTTAGTAAATTGATGACTAAAAATGTATCAGATAAAGTAATGAAGTAAAATTAATAAGACAACTTTTCCTAACCCTTAACCTGTGTAATCTCTTCAGGTGTGCTAATCATAACTGCTCTGCTCTTCAAATCAGTAATAACAGCATCAACGGCCATATTAATGCCACTGCGCAAGTCCATCACATTTATACCAGCAGCTACTGCTTTACACCCTTCTGTGTATATAGCTTGAGTTAGCACGGTAGCACAAGTTGTACCTGTTGTCATGTGGCATCAATTTTATGATCTTCAATATAGCTAGATATATTGAATAATAATAATAATATATTATAATATACTTTGAGATTGTGAGATCTACAGTTGAGTCATTACCATCTCCAGCAGCAGAATTAGTAGCATTAGCAACCTGCTTCACAAGATCTGCACCTACATTCTTTGCCTTTTCCTTAAATTTAATACTTTTGGCTACAGTGACACCATCCTTTGTGACTTTAGGATTTCCCCCACTGCTCTCAATGATCACATTGCGACCCTAGAGATCATTGCAAAGAACGAGTAACCATTCTGATTAGTGTAGCCATGATGCCACTACAACATTGCTTAAAATGGAATCTGTATATATCTCTAGAATTACGAATGCCGAAAGTAAGCATGATATTTCCTATTCTCTATCTGGAAAATTGAACCCACACAGAGGATTTCAACTTGCTAAAATGCCTCTACAAGATAATTCGGTGAAGTAGGGATTCTAATTTGAAATTGGAACCTTTTACAGGAATGGCATGAAGACTTCTAAAAAGCAACTGCCAGGAATAAGTGTAAAATTACCTTAGGTCCCATTGTAACCTTCACAGCTTCTGCAAGCTCATTAACACCTTGTAACATGGCCATTCGAGCCCCAGTTCCGAAACTGATATCCTTGGCAACATAATTTCTGCTGGAGATAACCCTACTACAGATCTTTACCACACAAACAAGCAAGCAAACACGTCAAAAGTCATGAAATTCCCATCAAACCAGCTCCCCTCAGTCCCCAACCAGTACAGACACATAAGATCACAATCAACAAAACAAATTTCTGGAACTATCCGCTGACACCACAGCCGATTGAATCACACGTGAGGATTGCCGAAATGTATAATTAGATTGAGGACGATGTGAAGGTTAGAAATTTTACCTGTTTTCTGGAAGCAGAGGACCTGATAGGAAATAGAGAGCAGTAAATTCTTACAGGTTTTTCTGTTTATACGAAAATGTAGAGAAAAATGAGTTGAATACAAAGTAAAAAAGAGAAATACCTGATGGATGAAGCAATGGCGGAAGCAGCTCTGTACATGGCTTGATAATGCGAAGAAGATGAAAAGGCAGAGAATCTGAGATTTTTGCAGTGGCTTCTGAGAATCCTGTGGGTTTAGGGTTTAAGATTTGAACTCTGCCTTTCATTATCATTTCTTTATACTCCCTCTTGTTTTTAAATTTATATTTTGGCCTTACATTTTATTTTTATTTTTTTAGGGAAAAAACAAATAACTTCACTAAATTAAATGTTCAATACAAGAAAAAATCAAAGACAACCAACAAAAAGGACCAGACTGAGAACGAGTAGCTCTAGCTAAGGCATGAACAATCTTGTTTGCTGATCTCGAAATAACATGAAAAGACACTGTTTCAAAGTGTTGTTGTAGAGCACGTCACTGACTCAAAACACAATCAGCATATGACAGATCCTGTGACGACGTACCATTGAATAACTTGCAGACCAACCGGCAATCAAAGAAAATAATCACCTTAGAGACACCTCTCTCTTTAATTCTTATAAATACAAAAGTTATCATATACAAAAAATGTGAAACTTATGAGCTAAAAAATGTGAATTTAATATACATGATAAAACATTTTATACATATGCAATTTGCATTTTTTATTTTTTTTCTTGAAATAATTAATATTTTGGATTATGACTTTACTATCCGCTATATATTCAAGTTTAATACAAAGCATAAGATTACTATATATATTAGGCTAGTGTGACATGACTGGAACGGATTGACTTATTTAAATTTATATTTTAACATTAACAAGTCACTAACTACATGTTTTGTTCACAAACAATATGGATGTTATTTCATAAGGAATGAAATAGATAAAGAATTGTTTTGTCCCTTGAAATTTTTTAATTCGAATCAATTCACCTATATTATACGGCACAATGGGCCTAACCCATTTAAATAAATTTATTCAAAACTTCGTTGAGAATTGGGATGAAAAGATTTCTAAAAATAACCAAAGAGGAAAGTTGAAAGATTTCTTTTCTATTTTTCCCTTCCTCCCTAATTTGTAAAAAGTTTATAGTACTAAGGTAAGGTTGAGGATCATGCATCCCCAATTTTGTGCTTCCATACTTGTGTGGCTGCATGCACGAGACCTCTTTTAAGTTTTCCGTGTAGTGTGTAGTGTGCGCATTCATGTTTTATTGTTTAAATTTATCCTTTAATATTCAATTCGGTAGTTAGCTTCAATCCCAAAAAAAAAAAAAAAGTATTATTTACAAATGGTAGGTATGATCTAATATAATATGTAACACAAATTGAAGACATCATAGGAATCTCACACAAGTAAGAGGAATGTAATTTAAAAAAAAAATGCAAATAGAGTTGGTTCACATAATGAATTTTGAAGTCATGACTGTCAACTGTCAGTTGTGTGATGGTATCTCGATTGTTCATATACTTTCTCAACCTACTGAAACACAAAAACACAAAGAGCCAAGCCAATAACGTCTCAATTGAGATTTGAACTCACAACCTTCCAAATGGAAGTCTAACCCGGATATCATTAAACCACAGAGTCCTGGTCTAAATGAATAATTAAATTCTTTGGACTAAAAATGTTTTAAAAAAATATAGAGTATATATTAATTACATTTGTAAAGGTTTATTTTTTAAATAAAAAAAAATTGGAATTGAGTGAAGCAAACCAAGTTGAGTCTTGCAACAATTTAATTTGGCATTTGGTACAAACTTTTTTCCACAAAGCACAATATCTAAAGCAGGAATCACACCTTCAAATCCTAAACACTGCACAAAACCCAATTACACGTATGTGTATATGTGTATGTGTATCATTACAACAAAATTCTTCTTTGTTCTAACAAAAAAAGAATTATTGTGTTTGTGTAGAACAAAAATCAACCCGTTTTTTTTTTTTTTTTTTTGTAGATTTAAACTCGTATTCAAAAGTTCCATTTCCAGATCTTGAACCTGACATCAACGTTACACTTGTCGTTCGGAATGGTGGCTTTCGACGGCGACTTTTTGGCCGGAGCAGCGACGCGAATGTCGTCGCAAGTTACTCTGATACCAACTCTCTTCGTTTTCAGCCCGGCGGCTTTAACCTTAACCTTAGTGTCCAGCGTTATCTTCACCGGGAAACGGCTCTTGTTTTTGATCGCCGATTTCATCGCCGAAACCTGATCGGCGTCGAGACTCTCCCCGGCAGCCGCAACGTTAGTTTTCAGCGCGGTAGTGTTCTTGGCGCCGTGTTCGAATCCAGGTATCGTTCCGGATCCGATGGCGGCGTCGCCGGAGAACACGGAGACGGAAATTGGATCGTAGATGAACTCGACCTTCTTGTTAGGGTTGCGGGCGGAGAGGGAGACGGTGAACTTGGAGGTGAGCGCGGAGGAGGTTAGGGCGAGCTGGGAGAGCTGGAGGGAGTCGACCACGAAATCGGGGCGCTGGGGGCGGTAGATCAGCCAGAAAATGGCGCCGGCGCCGGCGACAAGGAGGACGAGAATAATGACGAGGAAGGTGATCCAGAGACAGCAGCAACAGACGCAGCTGCGGCTGCCGCGGCGGCGAGACGGCGGTTTGGGGCGGTACATGGGGCGAGGGGCATTGTAAGTCTGTGACTTAGCGCCGCCGTTGGTGGCGGCGGCGACGGGGGGAAGCTTGGCTGTTGGGTTGATCTTGTCACTTTTATCAGCCATAACTGCAGCTATAAGTTATTTGTATGGAATTAGATCCTCTCTCTCTCTCTCTCTCTCTCTCTTTCTCTCTCTGTGAGATGAAGGGTTTCTGTACGTATATGTGTATATATATAAGAAGTAGATATATGGAGGGAAGATTATGGATGAAGAAAGAGTGGAATCTGAACCGACAGAGAAGAAGGGTGAGATGAGATGTAACCTCATAACCAACTCGCAGTTAGTTGTACATTCCCACGCTTTTCAGTTGCGAGTGAGTGCTAAATACTAATCAATCACAATTTGGCGCCATTTTTCAAAACTAATAAGAAGTAACTACCATGTATATTTTTTAATATTATTTATTTTTTTTAAAGAGTCAAGCTAAGATATTGGCCCTGTTTGGTAAAAAATTGATCTATAAGTCAATTTTAGCTTATTTGACCACTATTAATTGTTTGATTTAGTTAAAATATTAATATAAATGTTTGGTTAATTAGCTTTTTGCAATTTCATAAGGCTAAAATTCAAAAAGCTACTCCTAACAACTTTTTCAATTAGCTTTTTGAGAAAAAAAAAATACCAAATAGCTATCAACTAACAGCTAATTTACCAAACACTTTTCTACAATCAGCTAATGTTATCAACTATTTATACCTTCTAATTAACACAATCAGCTAACAACTAACAGTTATCAGCTAACAACCATTTTACCAAACAGGGTCATTAAGTCAGTAGAATAATATAATTGAGATAATAAGTGAAAAAGATTAATTATGAATTCAAATCGTTACGTTCTCCTTTAAATAAGTAAATTAAAGATGTACTTTCAAAAAAAAAAAAAGTAAATTAAAGATGTTCAATTGAGTGTTAAGATAACTTATATATTTTGCATGTCCCTACTTGGCACTTGCATATACATTACTTTTTAAAATATGGAGTGAATCCAAGTGTACACTTTTTAAATTTAATTTTATCTTTTTTCAATTTTTAAAAAACAATTCTTTTTTTTAGGACCGCGAATGGACTATAATTGGTGATCGTCCCCATTTATCTTCTATAGAAATTAGACAACCATGATCGGACAAAACACAATCACTAAAAAAACGAACTAAACAAGATAGCAAAAGACTCGCAAACCCTAGCGAGAGGGAGAAGACTCGCCGAAACCTAGCGAGAGAAAATATTTCTATATACATGTAGGTTTTAATATTCTAATTATCTAATAATGTTATATGAATATCTATAGAAATAATTATTGTAACATATTAAATGCATTTAATATGAAGTTAATTAGAGAACATTAATAAGATAATGTTGAGTTGGAATTTTTTTTTTTTGAAAAAAAACCATCGTTTCAATCCTGTGACCTTCCCTCAAGGGGAGCCACAAATGTACCATATGAGCACTAGGTGATTGACAATTAAAATTTTATTTAGTGATATATTGATAATATATATATATATATTTTAACAAAAAATTTTAATTATTGTATTTTAAAAAATTCAATGGATTGTATACACAAAATGTTTTTGTTTTTTTTTTTAATATAAAATGTATATTATTAGAGGTAAAATTATATGTGTATTAATAATAAATTCCTTTTAAATAATATTAATAATAATAAATTCCTTTTAATTAATATTAATAATAATAAATTATTTTTTAAATAATAGCAACAATAATAAAATTATGTCACTTAATCATTTAATATCGCATAATAAATGCAATATTGTAATGAGAATGCAGACGAGTTAGGTTTTAATGAGAAGAATTGCGGGTCAAATTTCGCCGGAAAATTTTAATAATTAAAATAGTGAGGGTATTTTGGTCGTTTCACGCATCTTTTCTTCTTCTCCAGGGAGTCCATCCATTTCTCTCCCGTTTTCGGCGTTCTTTCTCCTTGTGAATCCTATCTTTAATATCATTAAGCCTCCTTTCCCCATCATCTTAGTTCATTGCTGCATTCGCCGGAAACACGAGAGGAAAGGATGGACTCGCTTGGAAAGAAGAAAAAAGACGTGAAATGATCAAAATACCTTCATTATTTTAACAATTAAAATTTTCCGGCGGAATTTGGCCGGCAATTTGACCGGAGTGACCAAAATTGACAAAAATTGTACTAAATTGACACCAAGACTATGTGGTCTCCATTTGGAAGATTGTGAGTTCGAACCTTAGTGGATGTGTTATTGGTTCTTTGTGTTTCAGTAGGTTGAGAAAGTATATGAACAGATACTACAATGTAATAGAGCCAGTAACATTAAAAAAAAAAAAGGTACTAAATTGACATTTTTCAAAGTCAAAAACTAAAATTAACAAACCCATATAATCATATGACCAAAATTAAAATTTTCTCGAATAAATAATTAAAAGTTCATGGCTTAGCTTATTTTAAAATGCTATGGGGATGGGGATTTACATTTCAAAATAATTTTTTAAAATTTCATATTTTTTACTAAGCAGAGCTTATTGTTTAATCATGTAGGAATGATAATGGCTTAAGTAAAAATAGACACTTGACCTTCCAAATCTTAAATACGACACGTTCATAGTTAATAATCAAAATTGAGAGAAGTTTAAGTAGGCAAAATGATACCCATGATTTTAGTAGCAATGAATACTTTTACTACCCAATAGTGTGCGTGTATATATATATATATATATATATATATATATATATATATATATATACTCTCTATTGTTTAATGAAATTATACAAAATATTATTGTTACTTTTATATCACTGACAAAATACATATACAATTTCACTAAAGCTAATTATATACAACATCATTATAAATTTGAAAAAATAGTGACAAAATTACTGAAAATAAATAACCGAGTAAGTGAAATATAATTAATTATCAAAAATCATAAGTTCAATTATTATTAATACATTTTTAGTCAAGTTCATTGTACATAATATTTCTAACATCGTAAACATCCTCGAATAATAATTTCAAATTTTCCTCAACAAAAAAAAAAAAAAAAAGAAAAAAAAGGTGAGAAAATGTGAGTGAAGTAGACGCGTGTGGTGAGGAAGATGAAAGGGAAGTAGCTACGCAAAAGAGATGTTTCCACCTCAACAACTGGCATGGGCGTAATTGCATCCTCTCTCTTACGTGGAGTTATATTCCTTTCTACGTGGGATAGCGATCTCTCATCTCTCTCTCTCTCTCATAACATCCAACGGCTGATATTGGCGTATCGCTTATGCTATGTATGGGCTCCACATCGCCGTTGAACTGTTGATTTCTACCAAATTCTTCAACCAGCTCCGTGTACCCATGAGTTTAGACTTTAGACATAAAGATGATTTCAATTTACACTTCTAAGAAATGATTTAGTGTAAAAATTCTACCGTTCCTGCAATTTCAATAATTTTTATTCCGTCCAAAAAAAAATTAACAAAAAAAAAATAACACGATTTGACTTACAATATTTTTAAAAAGTTTATCAAATTCATGAAACGCTAAATTTGTTTATTCATTTGGTTTAAAAATATTAATAAGACTCATATATGAGGATAATTTAAGAATTTTCGGTGGTGCTGATAGTACCCTCAATACAATAAAAAAAATATCGATTATTTATTTTTTATTTTTTAAGTAAAAGGGAGGAAATAAAATCTAAGATCAATGGCTGATCCTCACAGAAGAATAAGCTCCCAGCAAGCCAAGCTCGTCATCACGCATTGCTCTCCGCATATCTCCACTAACCTCTGCAAAAAATCTTGTTTGCTCATCGTCAACGGCAGTTTGCTTGGCAATGATATCGGCCACTTTATTTTGCTTTCTTGAAATGTGTCCAAACTTGATGCTCCAGTCCCAGTTTTTGACTGCTCTGTAAAAGTCAACAATATTCCTTCCCGGGCCGTCATAGGGCTTGTTATTTGCAATAAGATTGTAAGCATTAACGCAGTCAATTTCAATAATAACTCTCCGGTAGTTTAGACCCCAATTATATATGTTATATTATTCACATACAATTAAATTAAATTTTAATATAATTTGTGAACAATATTTTAGTATTATTTTAAACTTGTGAAAGAACATATATAACAAATGTGTAAGTCAATTAAGATGGTTAGTTCTTGGTTAAAAAATTTGGTAGAATTATGGCAATGTCAATTTTGCATAGTATCATATGAATGTCAAAACTTATATTATTTTATTACAAATGAGTTAAAGGTTTGAAATTTTTGCCTGTAATAAAATACTAAACACCCAAATCGGAGAGGAACCCAACAACGGTCACAGTTGGTGAGCCTCCACCTAATTAAAGGCGTCTTTAGTTAAATTTCCAGGATTATTGGCCGCCTGAAATAATTTTCTTTTCTTCCTCCTTAATTATACTTTCTTGCCATAAGTCGGTAGGATTCCATTGTTCATTCTTTGTCAAATGATTTTGTAACGTTTGGTTCACGGAATGTTAGATTGCCGGAAATATCAAATTACTAGGAAGGTTAGATTCTTGTGTCTGGTTTAAAACTAAGACCACGGTAATAAGATAAATTGATAAAAACGTCCAAAGCCCAACATTAGTAATAAGACAATGGAATGTGAAATTACCTAAGAAATTAAAGGGTATCTCACATTCCCTTCCAATAGCTAAAAATTTAATGAGGAAGTTATTGACATTCCCTGAGAATAACCTGAACCAAATATGGAAATCTTATATTTGCTTAATTACCAAGCAAATATAACCTTGGTCGTGATTATACAATGATTAAGATTTGTTTAGATAACAATGCTTATCTGAGAGACTGATATTTATCAAATGATCAACTTCATTCGTTTAAGAGGCCAAAATAACAACAATAATAATAATAACAATAATGAAACGTTCATTCTTCTAGTCAGAAGATAATAGTATTACCAGTAATCAGTAATCCATAAATACAGACAATCTTGTAACGCCTCTTGCAATCTGGGAAGACAAAATTGACGGACAAGATGAAATCAAGAACAATCAAGGCCATAGAATACTTCAAAAAAAAAAATCTAATAAAAGGCAGAAAATAAAGGCTGTGTGGAAGGGGCTTTTCTTGATGAACAATCTGAAACAGGCAGGCTAGGCTACAGCCTGCCTCACTGTATGCTCTA